TGTCCATTCCCGATAGATCTCTCCCGTAGGAGAAGAAATATGACAAATGTAACGTAAACTAGTACGCGCGCATATTTCATTTGAGCGTCCGACTCGGGAATAAGCTGTCAGATCCCTCATCAAGCGCGGACCGAACTGACCTAGGGTTCGTTAACAAAGTTACGTCGTTCCCCTCTCAACGCGTCACTCGCAGGACTCATGATCAGATGAGCAGACAGTTCGATAATACTAAAAAAAAAAAAAAAAAATTGCTAAAGAACTTCTTTTCCATGATCCACCAAACTGCGCTCGGGAGACGGCGCCAATCTGCGATTCCATTCCCAGTCCATTTCCCCCGACGACGAACGTCATCGAAATTCGATGAATTGGCTATTCCCTACGACCGAAGAATCTCTCACGAGAGAATGCGTATAACGTAGAAAAAAATTATTCGATGTAATTATTTCTAAAAATTTTCATTGGATCTTTATTAACAAAGACAGAACGTGAAGATGAGAGAAATAATCAAGTCGTTGCTCCTCGGAGTTTTTTGTTCCTATAAAAAATGTGCAGAATAAAAAAAAACAGGAGTATCATCACTTTCTCCGAGTGTGCTAAATGCCAGTTCTAATTGCCGGTTATCACTCATTCGGTCACGTTCGGTGCTAATGGCACGTCCGCGTCGAAAATATACGAGGGCCGCCGCTCTGTTTGCGCGAAGGGAAATGGATTCGAACTTCTTTAGCGAGGAAATGGGTTTGAACACGAAAGTAAAGTATATCATTATTACCGTGTGTGTCCACAAAGGTGTGACTACACACGTGCCGGCCGTAATTGAGCGACTTGCAGATAGCGGCCGGAAAAAAAAATCTCACGCCGCAATGTTATCTCACATTCCGCGACACCATCGGCCACTTTCTAGGACCGGGCGAGTGTTACAGCACGTGTGCCAAGGGGGAAAAACAAGCGCGCGCGAGCGTAAGGTCGGCGAAACCAGGTCGCGCAGAATATTGCGAGCGTTTCGCTCAGGAAATTATGAATCAGCATTGCAAAATCTAAGAGAATACACATAATGGAGAAATGCGCGCGGAATTATCTGACGCGAATTAGAGACAAAAATCTTTGCCGGCGCCGCGGAAGAACGAGGCTGCAATTTTACAAATGACGCAACGTGTGTCGACCTAGATATTCTATCTGATACGTTACATGTATATCTCTTACGGCAATTGCCGCCGCAATATCGCGCAATGATTGTCAAACCCGACAATTTTGGAAAAACTTGAAGCGCGACAAAAGACAGTAATTCAGCGTTTGCACGCGTAACAATTGCCACATTTAAATATCTTGCAATTGTGTGCCAACGAATATGCATCAGACTAATTATTGTTCTAACCGCGTTTCTTCGCCCTGTGCTATTTCTCTCGAGTTTCTGAAACTTGCAAGCAGAAACGGCTCGCAAGAAGACGGTGGTTGCGAATAAGTTTGAAAACATGTCATCTTGACGGAGTGGTCGAAGCGATAACGCAAAGGGGTATGCTGCAAGTGTCGATACCTGACGAGCTCCGATATATACGCGCTTGTCTGTTTTCACGCGACATTGTCGAAACTTTTTATTTTGACGCATTCTTAACGCTCTCTTCGCGCGCGCAAATTCTCGCCTCGCTCTTAGAATTATCGACTGTCGAGGCGCACATTTATTACAGCGGCAACAGGAAACGGTGGGTGCGCCGAGATAGCGTGTTGTAGTCCTGCGGCCGATCATTGCTCGGCGCACCGTGTGTTTTACATTCAGGCCGAACCCCCGGTGATAAGAGAGCAGAAGCAGGACGTCGATTTATCGGGAAAAATTACAACGCGGAAAGTCCTTTGTGACTCGGAACGCAAAAGAGTTTAACTTGCGCGGCGCGATCGCGTTGCTCGGCGCACGGCGTTTATGTCGGCGCGACAGAAATAAGCCCTCCCTACACACACTCACACGCACATACGGGATGGATAACTTGGGCGCATAATTTCGTTTTAGCGCTCAGTTTTCCCCGCGCATTTTTCACTGTTTTGCCTTATTCCGGCGATTTCGTTCAGCCTTTTACGATCGCGAACCGAGATACGAAAAAAGAAAATTCTACACGCGTAGAAACACATGTGTGTACGCGCGCATGTATAAATATTCATAACTTTGTGTCAATTTACATCATCTTGTCACGTTACACTCGGAAAATTCTACGCTTTTTTTTCTACCTTTTTTTGTGTTAGTGTACTTGTTAAAAAAAAAACAAACAAACAAACAAAGAACAATCTTTGCTCAGAGATATTATCATATATGTGACATAATAAAATTAATAAGTACAACAGAGAAGTAGTTTATCTAACACTTAATGGACGTAGACATGCTAGACGTGCTGTGAACGTGTACATGTTCACATGTATATGTAACATTGCTCTGGTATATCCCACGAGTTTACATTTCTCCGTTTAGTCACGTTTATTTGATATGTTTGTGCGCACTTTAGTACACAAACACACTTGCTCTCCGTGATACAACGACAAGGAACGGAGTCTTGCGCGCGCAGTTCTTCCCAACTAAAATTTTGCATAAAGTTATTTATTCAATACTTTATCTTCGTTCTTAATTTAGATGTACAAAACAATAATTCAAGTTTGTCATTAACGCGGCTCATCGTAAATTTTAAACTGTTTCGCGTTCGACCTTCGCAAAAAATTCATAAACTTCTGTGTCGAAAAATACGCGGTTGAACACACAATTTACATAAATTTACATAAATACACAGTTTACATAAATTTACGATTTACGCACAAATGTGCAACTTGATGATGTGTATGAAAAACTTTCTATGTGTGTTGAAAGAATTATTGTAAAACCGAAAAATCTTTTAAAATATCGCTTTAAACACGCAAATAATCATATATAGAAAGCAGGCGTATGGTAAAGAGTAAGTTCGCGTAAAAAGAAAAATTTTCACTAGCTTTTTCCCCGGACTGTTTGGCAACCCCGAGAGAGAGATATCACTTCCTTGTTCGCGTCTACGTGTTTTATGTGTTTACTCTTGCGCTGTGCTTGTGCCCGCGAGGAAATAAAATTTTACGCGAGCGTTCTTGCAGTTTTAGATTTAGCTAGAGAGCTAAAACTTCATTCAGTCTCTCCCGCGACTTCGTAGATCGAATTTTACGAATTCAACCGTAGATACAGTAAACACAGCGCGGTTAAAAAACCAAAAAAATACTAAATAATATTTTAGGGCTCGTGAAAGTTTGAAGGAATAATATAAGGCCGATACGAGCCAATCCCAGGATATTGAGCGGGAACTTGAAAAAAACTCTTCGGCCAGGAGTCGAACCTGGAATCTCCGGCTTGAATTGAATTTTCAATTCAAAAAACTTACTTGTAAAAATTTACAAGTATTACTTGTTATAGATGTATACATATATGTATGCACGTTCAAGTTCCCGCTCAATATCCTGGGATTGGCTCGTATCGGCCTTATATTATTCCTTCAAACTTTCA